ATAATACATTTATATATCTTAAATTTATATATAGCTAATCTGCCTGAATATAACAAAGAAACGTATGTTATCATAACATTTAGGAAATAAAAAAAATTGTAAGTTAATGTGAGAAGTTTGTATTAAAATAATTATAAATAATATATTCCTATTATACGCCGAGTGAGTTAGTTTTAGAGCCAACAGCAAAACCTTAGTTAAATCCTCTTCCAACCGAAGTCGATGTCGCTCACTGCCATGTTCCTTCCTTACATAAATCTTTCCGTCACGTGACCATACATACTTTCAACCTAGTCTTTTGGCTGCCACACGAGCTTTATAAAATCACCGGCTATTGTGCTTAGTATGACGCCCATTGACATAAATGGTGCGAGCTATTCCTGTCAGTCCCAGACATCGATATATATTATGTACTACGAACTAGATTTCGCATTCCGAACACACACTATGTTCAAGTGAACTGTACTGCAATCCGTACAGTGTGTCATTTAGTGTGGTTTCAATCTACTAGTTAGTCTTTGGTTTCAATATACATGTAGTGTGGAGCGGCGCTAATAATACATGATTTCAAATTAAAGTTTAAATTAAAAACTGACCGCGCAGACGCAACGCGCTTAAATCAACTGCGCATGCGCGACTGTACTATCTCCCGGGCATGCGCGAAGACAGAGTAGTGCACATTTTTTGTTTAGAATGGCTTCTCTAGTACGTAGTACATATAACACAATGGTCCCAGATCTTTAGTGGTGATATTGCGCCCTACGCGTGCTGCCTGTATTAGCGCATCACGCTGAGCACGACGCGCCAATGGCACAACTAAAAGGTGTGGCCGCGGAAATGTAGAGCCCTTGCCATTCTCGCGTACGAAACCTGTACGCTCTGAAGACACCACATCGCGCTCATTCAGGTCCACGCATAATTTTTTGGCAATAGCCAAGATAAAATGTGCGGTATTTTCACCACTCGTTTCAGGGAATCCCGCTATCTGGATATCATTAGAGAGCATGTCTTGGTCACGTTCCAATATTAGATACTTCAACTGTGACACCGTCTCTTCCAAAGTAGAAACTTCATAGCGTTGTAAGCCTGTTGATTTGTCTTCTAAGGCTGATATCCCAGTTTCGATGGAGTCAATGCGGCTGCTTTGAATCTTAATGGAAGTCATTAGATCTGCTATAGAATTATGGAACAAGCGCATTTCAGCACGAATGGCCTTCATTTCACTAAAAAGCAGTTGAAGTCCATAGCCGTACCATCGAGCGATTATGACATAATATTCTTTATTACGCTGCTCTCTTCTACATGAATATTCTTGTCGTGAGTATTTTTTGTGGGTGGTTTTCCGCGGACGGCCACATTCGAATTCTCTGATGAGACTACGAATGCAGCAGGATTAAAAATTTCAGACTTAACAGTACGCACTGGTGTATACAAATTATTTGTTCGCGGAAGTTTGCTTACACATGAAATGCCATCGATATTTATGTACTACGTTCAACTACACTATGTTCAACTGAACTGTACTGCAATCCGTACAGTGTGTCATTCAGTGTAGTTTCAATCTACTAGCACAGAATAAATAATAGCCATTAGTTATTCTGTGGTCTCAATATTCGTGCAGTGTGAAGCGTCGCTAATAATACAAGATTTCCAATTAAAGTTTAAATTAAAAACTGACCGCGCAGATGCAACGCGCTTAAATCAACTGCGTATGCGTGACTCTACTATCTCCCGCGCATGCGCGAAGACATAGAGTAGTGCACATTTTTTGTTTAGAATGGCTTCTCTAGTAGTACATTTAACTCAATGTGAAATGCATTTACAATTATCTTTACGCTCTTTATTAAACGAATAAAAAGAATAAAAGCGTTTACTGCTTATATTTAGACATTCAATATCATAAACCTCTTCACAATTACAACAACGTAGATATTCTCTTTTGGGTAAAGGTTTCGCACATGCAGCACAAGTTTCGATTGGTGGCGACAATATTTTATACAATAGTACTAAGATTTATTTCATATTTAAAATTAGATGAATGCATGCACCCTCTAATGTGTGTTCGTACATATGCACGAAGTTCGTAGCTTATTTTGCAAGTAATTAATAGATGGCGTAATAATGCACAAATAGTTACTCTCCTTTGGTTTTTTATAGGATAAGGGTGACAAACGAGCACACAGTCCACCTGATGATAAGTGGTTGCTGTGACCCATAGACATCTACATCCATCCTCAATAAAAAATCTAAATGCAGATACGTTGTCACCCGTGAGGATTAAGATGGAATACCTCATTTGCAGTAAAAAGGGTCTCCGTTTCTCTACACTCACCATACGAAACACAGCAGTGTTAAGCTGCTATTTTTACGCTGGCATTATGTGAGAGCGTGGTCCTTCCCCGATCGAGCCGACCCATTCGTGCTACAACTATACTTCTGATATAGCTGCAGCATGGCTCTACCACCTATATAAATTATCACATAGATGTCGCTGATTTAATCAGATGTACATAAATTTTAACATTTTAAACTACTGTACGAGGGCGATACTGAAATTTTTTAGAACTGACCACTTGTAAACGATATAACAAAAATAAAATGTATTTTTATTTTATTAATTTGTCATTTGTTTACGATTTGGGGGCAAATTGAAAATTGTCTGTGTCACGTCAGCATGAATTTAACGCGAGAAAATTTTCGTACATTGATTTTTTATGAATTTCGATGTCATTTAAGTCAACAAGAAAGTTATAATAAACTTCGACTGGCATTTCACGAAGAAGCCCCATCTCGTGCAACTGTTTACAACTGGTTTAATGAGTTTAAACGTGGTCGCACTAATCTCACCGATGATTTGCGCGAGGCAAGGCCTGCTACGGCAACGACTGAAGATAACATTAGTGTTGTGCGGCGTATGATAGACACTGACAAAAGAGTGCCTTATCAGCAGATTCGGATAAGCTTAGGCATCGGTATGAGTCAAGTGCACAAAATCCTCCATGAACATTTAGCGGTCAGGAAGCTTTGTGCCCGGTGGATACCTCATAATTTGACAGAGGCCCAAAAACTTCGTCGTGTCGATTGGTGTCGTGAAATGGTTCAAAGATTTAACGGAGGTGACTCAAATGCTTATTGTTATGATCCTGAAACTAAGAGACAGTCTGCTGTCTGTGTGTTTTCTTCCGAGGAGTTGCCAACTAAAGCGAAGAGGTCGCAGCGTGGGAAAAAAGATGGTGGCCTCGTTCTTCGGAAGGGCAGGTCATTACACAACAATTGTTTTAGAGGATCGAAAAACAGTTACTGCAGAGTGGTACACTAACAATTGTTTGCCACTTGTCTTGGAAAAAGTTCGGGAGAAACAACCTCGCAGTAGGATCCTCCTTCACCACGACAACGCCTCGTCGCACACCGCCAAGCAAACAATCGACTACTTAGCGACGTCAGACGTGGAATTACTGGGTCACCCGCCCTATAGCTCCGATCTCGCATCTTGCGATTTTTATTTATTTTCGAAAATAAAAGAAAAACTTCGAGGAAAACGTTTTATAGACGCCGAGGAAGCAGTGGCTGCGTTTCATAATGCCGTGGGCAAAGTGATTTTCTCAGTGGTTCCATCGGAAGCAGCGGTGTGTTGATGTAAATGGACACTATTTTGAAAAGATATAATAAAACTAATAACTTGCTAGTTTGTTCAGTTTTTGATTTTCTAAGAACTTTCAGTGTTACCCTCGTAAACCGTCAGTTTAATACTAAATTAATGTTTTTTCACTTTAAAACAAAAATAAAACGTTGATAGCACTCTGACTTAGTTTGTTAATACTGTTCCTTAGCGTTTCACTTTAAAAAGCATTGTTTTATTACAATAAATTCAGAACAATAACAATTTATAGTTTACTGATTCACTGGATTACTTTTGTCAACTTCACACTGATAATTTAGCTCCAAACAGCACGATAACCCTGGACACACTATATTATGTTACAATTAATACTTAGGTTATAGAAAAGTTCAGTAAAGTTTGTTTATAATATTTTTTAAAACAAAAATTATATATATGTTATATATTAGTATAGTTATAGTTATGTATGTTATCTTTTTCGACTTTCACGAGGATCTCGTCATACGGATTGGTAAGGTTGCCAAAAATATCCTTGAGTGTGCCCGGTCCTGAAAAATTTTATTCTCACTTTTCGGCTTATCTCGTCGAGATCTCTGACGTTATCGTGTTTCAACGGATAAAAGGTGGCAGATGGTTATTCGCCGTTTATTAAATAAGTGACTGCGAGGCATAACACTGATGTAAACAGCAAAGGGTGCAGAGAGGAGAGTCTATGGGCTGAAGACTCTTATACAGCAGCATCCTCCCGTCGTTAAACATTGTTCACTACCACCGTTCAAGCTTAGAGCTCTAGCATACTAGCTTTAGTTCTTAGCTCTAGCGCTTCACTTTTACCGGCCAACCAAGGCAAGCTAAAGGCGGGGAATTACAAACTTCTTGGGAGAACTCGGTTATGACCCGTGGTGTCGCCACTTACCAACAGCTTTAACAACGTTACAAGCTACTCTGTGGGCTTATTAACTTTATTATTATAACGAGTTCTGGCGAGAACTTGGCCGGCGGCTGATTGCTGCTCCTGTATTATTGTTTATGCTCCTGTATTGTTGATATGTAGAAATGAGTGCGATTTTGTGTATTAAATGTCTGCGCATGTGAACTATTAGTGAAAACGGTGAAACAAGTGAACCGATGGCGATGTGAATCTCAAGATAAGGTGTCTGTCTGCAAGGGCTGTAAGGGCTCCTTGAGAAACTATAGTTAACTGTCTGCTGGCTCAAGTTGCCGTCAAAATCTTCCAATAAATACGTAATATGACGCATCAACATATTGAGAAACAGTATGCTATAAAGGATCATTTTCACTTGATACTCAGATAAATGAAACATGGCTTAAATGACAAGTATCCAAGGCAAAATCTTAATTAAAAAAATATGATTGTAACCTCTGCCAGGATCCAGTTCTCCTCCTTGTCGGAGACGCGCACGAGCGCGGCGACGGCGTCCCCGGGGCGCGCGACGTGGCCCGCGTCGGCCGGCACGGCGCCGCACAGCGGCGGCGCGCGCTCGCCCACGCGCCCCACGTGCAGCGGCAGCGTCTGCGCCGCGCTCAGCAGCATCTTCATCAGCGCCCCGCACCCGATCGTCTCCTTGTTCCCAGCGTGCCGTGCCTCAAAATACACCACACAATTAACGCCTGCTTGGACTAAATACTCGTATCGCATTTTGGATACGATTATGATGCGCGCGAAATGATACGTCTTGAAGTAATAATATATGCTTGGAAAAAAATATTCGCAAACATGAAATACTCCATTAAATTATTCTTATCGAATAGATTTTTAAAATACTTATTGGTATTGATCGAGATAAAAAAAAAATTTATGTTAAGATTTGGGAAACAAACAAATATGTAGGTATGTTTTAATTTCATTTCTTTTATTTCACTGCACACAAATCACAACACAATTCACAAATACAATTTATACTTACGTAGATTATTTTTTAAAGGAAGGAAACATCAATCACAGACATAATATATGACACAGATAAAAAACAATTTGTTGATTTTACAACACTTTAACTGCCGGGAAAAATCTTAAGGCTTTTCAAGGACACAAAGTTGATGTGAAGTTTTCCAGAGGAGCCGCACCTGAACCAAACCTACTTTTTATATTCACATCCAAACGGCACCGGAGCCATCAAGTTTTGCGTTGAATAATTAAGCGGCGATCACAACTCTGGTGTGTGGGATTTTAAATTAATTGGTGATTTTGAGTCCTAACGTGTACATTCCAAAACTTCAAAAACGATTGTCTCACAAAAATAATATATTCAGATTATAATATGATTCATCAAAATGTTGAATGATTAATCAAACTAATTTATAATATAAGTATTTTGTAAATAACAAAGGGTTCACAAAAATTAATCGTCAAATTATTCTATTGAATGGTATACTATTTTACAAATGGTTTCATCATCATTAACAGCCCTCCACAAATCCACTGCTGAACATAGGCCTCCCCAAGCAATGCTACAAAACACGGTCCTGAGCCACCTGCATCCATCGACTTCCTGCATGTCTTACCAGGTCGTCACTCCATCTAGCGGGGGGACGTCCTACACTTCGCCTGCCGGTACGAGGCTGCCACTCGAGAACTTTTCTTCCCCATCGGTTGTCGGTTCTTCGAGCTATATGGCCGGCCCATTGCCACTTCAGCATACTAATTCTTTGAGCTATGTCGATTACTCTGGTTCTACTGCGGATATCCTCGTTTTTAAGTCTATCACGCAGAGAAACACCGCATAGCCCTCTCCATATCTTGCTGAGCGACTTTGAACTTCCTCATACGTCCAGCAGTGAAGGACCACGTCTCAGATCCATAGGTCATCACTGACAACACGCACTGGTTGAACAATTTAGTTTTAAGGTATGTCTAACAAGAAGATGTGTCGTAATCACTCGAACGCAGCCCAGCCGAGTTGAATCCGTCTATTGACCTCTCGGTCGAAGTTGGACTTACCTAGTCGTACTATTTGTCCCAAGTAATCATTCGTCAACATCTTCGAGCTTAGTGCTCCCAACAACTACCGGCATAGGTGTGACATGGACGTTAAACATGATTTTTATTTTGTCCATGTTCATCTTAAGACCTATCCGTTGGGAGACACTATTGAGGTCATTGAGTATAGTGCTTAGGTCCTCTAGCGATTCTGTCATAAGGGCTATACCGTCGGTGAGGTGAGTGATGTACTCACCATTGATGTTAATACCGCATCCTTTCCAGTCCAGTAGCTTGAAAACGTCTTCCAATGCAGCGGTGAAGTTTCAGAGATATTACGGCACCCTGTCTAACACCTCTCTGCAGTTGGATAAGTTTCGTACTCTGGTTATGTACTCGGATAGCCATCGTAGCCCTACTGTACAAATACTTCAGGACTTCGATATACCGACAGTCCACTTGGCACCGCTGGAGGGACTGCAGCACCGCCCAAATTTCGACGGAATCAAAGGCTTTCTCATAGTCCACATACGCAAGACAAAGTGGCAGATTGTACTGCTCAGTCTGCTGTACAATTTGCCGAAGGGTATGTATGTGGTCTATGGTGATAAAGCCTTTTCGGAAACCGTCTTGTACGGGAGGCTGGAAGTCGTCGAGTCTGTATGCGAGACGATTCGTAATGACTCTCGAAAACAGCACGTAGATGCGGCTCAGAAGAGAAATCGGTCTGTAGTTCTTCAAGAGAGCTTTGTCGCCTTTCTTGAAGAACAAGACCACCGCACTTTTGCTCCACGCCTCTGGAGTAGTGCCCCCATGAAGGACGGAACTAAAGAGCTTCTGAAGGACTTTAAGTACTGGTTTTCCACCCGCTTTCAGAAGCTCCGCTCTAATTCCATCCTCGCCCGTGGACTTGCCGTTTTTAAGGTGTTGGAGAGCCATTTTAATCTCTCTCAGACAGACGTCCGGGATATCATCCGAATAGTGTCGGATAAGACTTGCTCTTGGATCATTACTCACTTCACGTCACTTGCGTATGGCTCCAATGATGACGTGTACAGCTGCCAATAGAACCTCTCAATCTCACTCAAAATCTCAGGTATTTCGGAAACGATGCTGCCACATTCGGTCTTCAGCTTCGACAGTTGGCACTTTCTGGCAGATAGATCTCTGGCAAACACTTTGTAGGGAGCCCTGGTTCCGCTCGATCGCTTCTTCAATACGAGCAGTATTAAAGTTGCTTAAGTCCTGCCGCATGCATTTGGAGATCTGTCTGTTCAGGTGCCTGTATGCTATCAAATCTACTGAAGACTGCAGCTTCATTTCACGTCTAACAGCCATGAGATTAAGAGTGTGATCGGAGAGTTTTTGTGTTCTTCTGCAGCGGGTCTTGCAAAACTTAGCTCCGACTGCATGTACAGTTTCCACGAGCTTGTCATTTATATCGTCCACTGGATTGCAATCTTCTAGGCACTGAAAACGATTTTGGAACTCGAGCTGAAAGGTTTCGGGACTTTCGATTAGAGCACGAGGGGGACGGAGCGTTGACTTCATTAGACGACACCTCTTCAACTTAATGTTTAGGTTCAGTGTGCGACCACTGAGACATCACTGAACAGTTGTCGTCTGGTCGTCATAATGAAGTCAATCTCATTTTTTGTCGAACCGTCGGGGCTCGACCAGGTCCACTTCATGTGGGGCCGCTTCTGTAAGAAAGAGTTCATCATAAAGAGTCCCACTTTCTCCATGAAGTCGCTCAGTTGCTGGCCCCTTGGGTTCCGTTGCCCTAATTCGAATTTCCCTACTTTCAGCTCACCGTTCTATCTTGTGCCTAGTTTTGCGTTAAAGTTTCCCATTAACACCGTATAGTGGGTTTTGGAGGAATGCATGGCTCTAGAGATATCCTCATATATTTCCTTCACCTGCGGCGCAGCGGTTGTGCTACGTTAACTCGGCTGCAGTGTGCTTTGTACGCGATTTTTATTTGTATGCACTAACTTGCGGTGCGGCTCCGGCTACATGTACAGGAAACCTAAAGCAGTAAAAGCAAAAAATAATATGACAAAACAAAATAAAAATATTGTGGTCTACCTGAATCCTTCTTTCATTTTTAATTGCTCTTATTTCATAAATTCGGGACAGAGCCGACCGAAGCACCTTTTCTTCTTGTTCAGCTGCCGTTAGACCAGCCTTGTATAAGCTTTTTAATTGCATTTGCTGTCAACACATAAATAATTACATTTTATTTTTATGGACGAAAATTTATGAAAACAATATAAAAGGTTAGCATTTCAAAAAATGTTAACACTAGTTAAAAGTTTAAAAATAACTAATTTTATAAGTTGAACCATCTTAATATATATAATTGGAAACATTATACTGTTTTAAATACTTGCATTTTGAGTTGATTTGATTTTTTTATAGACTAAGGGTTTAACACCCTACCCTGACAAGCACACTGTTCATCTGATGGTAAGTGGATGCCGTGGTTCATGGACATCTATCCTATCCATCTATCTATCTTCATTTAAGAATCAAAATGCGTTTTCACCCCTGATCACTGAGATGGATTGCCTCGTTTCCAGTAAAATGAGCCGATTCTCTAGATTCACCACACAAAACTCAGCAACATTATACTGCTATTTCACGCTGGTATTCGTGCTCCTTCCCCGGTCGAGCCGACAAATTCGCACTAGAACTATAATACATATAATTGCAGCAGGCCTCTACCAAATAGATACGAAATGTTCTTCTGATTAACGCTAAAATGCGTGTGCAGTTTGTCACACCACATATTTATGTTTACATAGATGTGTGTAACCCAGATTTATTATTAGCATTTTTTGGCAAAAACTTTTTTTTTCAAACAAATACCTACTCAACAACTGCATCTGGTATATATTTTTTTCTTTTTAAATATAACCATATTTATTGATATCACTGTCAATGGCTTCTTAAAACTGAAGGAAAATGAACCAGGAGATGGGCAGCAGCATCTTCCTGATAACAGTTGAATAAAAATAGGCTTTATCGGCAATGGACTTTTCATATGCTGTAATAGTTATGTCTTCTTAAAAGGCTCACTGTCAAACAAAAGTAAAACCTATACATACAGTACTAGTGGTCTAATTCTTTCGTAACATTGAATTTTTGAGTTTTTATAGTAAGCATGTTGTATATTTCACTTTTAACATAACACATTAAAACACATATCTCTCTATAAAATAATAAGTTTATTGTTGGCAGTATTTTAAAATTCTTATTAAATATTATTTCTTTATTTATTAAGAGTGTAGTCCTTGAGCGTGGGAACTTCTAATAGAACACCTACATTGATAATTTCTAGTCACACATACACATCGCGCAGTGTAAAGGCGGCCACTGACATGCCCGCCGCAGGGGCAATCTAGGGTGTAGGAGTGGGGATGACCCTTAATTACCTCCTTAATTGTGATGTGTGTAGGCAAGCAGGGGCAATTTTTTAAGTCGGTCCTGCGGCAGGGCGGCAGGAGCGCAAGACCTTCCTTGCTCCCTAGATCGGCCCTGCCGCTGTCGCGTGTGTAGCGCTATTGGGGCAATTTCAATCAGTTCGTTGCGACTTTCGCGCGGAGCACACGTATGAGTAACAAGTCAAAACTGCAGAAAGAACGTTATTTGAACTTACAAGTAACATTACAGGGATTTGTTACCTAACTTATCATAAGGGCTAGTATGGGAAAGAAAATATTCCATACAATACAATACAAACACTCACGCCTGTATTAGTATTAAAAATATTCCAATAGTATTAAAATTGCTGGAATATAAATAAAATGTCATTAACTAAATAATTAAACAAAAATAAAATTTTAGTAATTAAATTTATTAAAATTCTTCATTAGAACCCTATCCTGGCTATTTGTAACACTAGTTAAATTATAGAGTTACTAAGCACTAGTTAGTTAAGTTATATCACAGAATAAATTGGTTATATTAAATTACGACGAGTGAAATTAGTCATATTTAATTCTCTTTGATAGCCTAAAATAGCGTGGCAGAGCTATGCTACAGCTTATAAGCACTATATTATGGTTGTAATTATTAATTAATTAGCTGTTTTATTGATAAATGTGGGTGTCTATAGGCCACAGTGTCCACTTACCATCAGGTGGACTGTGCTCATTTGTCACCCTTATTCTATATAAAAAAGAGCCAAGGCTGTATATACCGATTTATTGATATTTCGATAAAACTGGCGCCATTCTCAACGCGTGCGTCCAGCGACACGTACACTCTCATACTGAACGGCAGGCGTGTGTGTAGAGACAGCTCCGATATTGCTCCGATCGCTGTGCTCCCTAGATTGTCCCTGCGGCAGACATGTCAGTAGCCGCCTTTAGTATACGCACCCTGGACATGAATAAATTACTTTTGGTGCTTCGCACAAGTTACATATTCATCACGCGTTCGTGTTCGTAGGATGTTCATGAATGTCACAAAAAACACGCAATGTATGTAGCCATTCGCAACTTCTTCTGTGTCATTTGCTTATCACATAGCGAAGTCCGCGAGCCAGTAATTAATAGCTGACGGCAAGGGTAGCGTCAGAGTGTACGCTTTATTTTAAAAATTATTTTTTATTTATGAACAAATTTAAAATATTATCAATGTCAATATCAATTACACTAAGTATCAAGGTCTTAATGTCAATATTAATTAAACAAAGTAATATGGGAAATGTGGGTTTCATAAATGATCTTTTATTAAAAAATAAAGGTTAATACCAAAGACATTTAAGTAGTAGTAGTAATAGACCGGACATCAGCAGCAAAATTGTCGTATGTAACTTATGTCCTATAGGATATATCTCCGTTAGTCTTAGTGACATCGTCACAAAGTCAAGACGCATTCTTTTCATATCTTTAAAAAATATTTTTATAGAAAATATGCCCGGTTGTGCATTAAGATATTGTAAGTCACGATATGGAGCAAAAAATGAACGTGATTTTGGTTTGTTATAGTAAGTATAACGTATATTTACCGAATAATCTTTAAATTTTATTATTTCTAGTAGATTGTTCTAGAAAATTTATTTTTATTGTACTAAGCGCCCTCTGTTATCCTGTAGCGTCACTATTTATTTAAAGTTAGTGATTGACGACGTTTATCGATTGGGGTTATCGATAAAAATAATATACAGTAAGCCGATTTAATCATTTTCAATATTTAAGGAGGTAAAACAGTCAAAGATGTACTGTACCCATACCAACAAAAATGAGTAGCATATACCAACTATGCTAAGTAGCCTACTTTATGTGGAAGGGTGGGATCATTTTTTAGGCATGATGATGAGATTTTCTGTGTTGCTTATGAACATGCTGAGGATACTTGCTGTGTTGATGTTAGTTATAAGTTCGATTTACAACAATTTAAACGGGGTTGTTATAAACTAATTTGCTTAATTCCGCGTAAAGAAAGAAAATGATGTGTCCTGCCCAGTCTTAAGGGGACTACCACCCCCAGCACCACCACACTAGGCACGACACACCACTCCCGAAAATACGACACGTGTTTCGCCTCTACACGAGGCATCCTCAGGTGAAGTAGACTCTGCGGAGGCTGGCTAAGTAAGTTTTAGCGGCTCCATTCAGTGTTTTACTAAATATTTTAGATTCGAAGTGTATTTTTGTAAAAGAAACGAATTTAAAAACATTTCGTTTCTTGATGTGTCTTCAACGCCTACCGACCAATCATATGCTATTATTATAGCTTCTAATGGACCGAGTGACGTCATCCAAGATACCACCAAGGCGGCAACCAAAGTGACTGCTGTTTGAATTGATTCTTAGTTATTGGAAATTAATATTTTATTTCATGTCACTCACTAAAGAGGCATAAAAAGTTAAAGTGATTTTTTTCGTGTGATGGAAGTCATGATAAATAGATTATACAATGAAACAATCATTTTATTCCCTATTATTATACTTTAAAGCATTTCAAACTTAGTAACCTTCAACAACATTATCGATACTTTCCTATCGAAAGGGTAACATTCCTAAAACGATCTTATATTTTAAGCGTCACCTACTGGGGAATAGCTAAAATGTTGTCTTAATAAATGATAGCGTAGTTTTGCTATTTTTAGCTAGAGGGCGTCACACACGCACGAGCTTAAAGTTTTTGTATATAAATTTTCCCAATGCCCGCTCTATAGTATATATATATTTTAAATCTCTTTGGTTAATACAGATTTAAACAATCACAGTGGTTTAAACAATTTTTACAGCATGTAACAAACAACCAGTTGGTCGTTTCAGGGACGTATATGTACCATGAATGGAATTTTAGCGTTTCTAATCAAGTAACTAACTAAATTTAATATTTTTAAGAATGTTATTTGCATCTGAACTAAACGACACGTGCCGACATACCTACAGACACTGTGAGGTCTCTGACACGGCCGATAGAGCATTTTTTCAAAGCAAACCGCTGCGCTTTCAAGATGGCGGATCGTATCTTATATACATTATAACTATTACGGCTATTTTTTACCGCCAAGGAGAAATAATTTACTTAATTCGTGTTTTCTTTAAATGTGGTAGGTGTAATGTTATGGTTTTTACAATAAAGTAGTTATAATAATATTGTTTTTCGTATAAATTGATATATTATTTTAACATTAGTGCTAAAAGCGAAGTATTATTATAGTTATTACCATTATTTTTTCTAGATACCGTTATTCTCACAGACTAAATTTAAAAATAATAGAAATAATAATGAAAATACTTTTAATAATGTGCTGGTAGTTTATGAAAATTCCATATCACTTCTTGAATACCTAATAATATTTAATATGTTCATATATATTTTATATTATAAATTATCTTACAAAAATAATTTTACGAAGTCACTTAACGGGAAAAATTCTTAGTTCCGCTACGTAGATAATGATGTTTTGACAAGTTTCTAACAGTTTCTAAAATTATGTTGAGATCAAATATACATTGTTCATTCATTCATTACGATCTATCAAAGTCAACTACTGAACATAAGGCTATCCAACGGATAACCTCATAAGGAGGTATTTTTGATAGTTTCCACTTTTTCCAGGCGGGCTTGCAACCGCAGTTTTTTACTTTGGATCTAGTTGTTGTTAGGAAGATGCCGTTACGCATCTCCTGGTTTCCATCTGATTTACTTTAGCATTAATTTTATGTTCACACCTATAATAATTTCTCATTACACCTGTAGGGATAGAAAGCCTAAACATGTTAAGTTTGCTCTTTGTTACCCTCTTTACAAAGTTCTTTAGATTATTTACTTAATTACTTAATTTAAATAATCTTCATAAAGTACACACCTGTTGTGAGGAACTAGAAGAGTCTTCATTCAATGGTGAACAATCTGCAGCCTTTTCACCTCTCAATATTTGTTCAATACATTGCTCATTTCGCCCTCTCTCTGCTTCTATGTCATATATTAACCTATGGAGAGCTCGTAATCGCTCCTGAAAATATAAAACAATAAAGTATCATCTTTTAACTCTATTTCTGCATTGTTAAGATATATATCAAATTAATGTAATTAGGATAGGATATTCGGAGGCATAAAAAGTGCAGTAAAAGAGTCATTATAAACAGAGAACCTGATCACAAAGATTCAAATATGAATACTTTTCAAACAAGCACTATATTACTTTCTTCGTGTATCCTATTGATGTTATTACCATAAAATGTAGCCTATGACAACTCAGAGACGAAGAAAAATCTAATGTAATAAATGACTCCCCATAAGGTACTTCAAATTTCGTAGAGTTGTTTTGGTTAGAGACGGTAACAAGGAAGAGACAAACATCACTTGCAACAGGCTGGTTTCCTCACCGCCACGTCTAAAGCGCGTATTTTGCGTCCGGACCAGTATATTACAATTATTTTAGCCTTGAAATCCCCTCAAAGAAATTCATCAATCTCTTGATACTACTGATTACCTAGGGAAGCAACACAAGGCTACAGGATACTATCTATGACAATTATGGTAAACAAGTGGGTACGACTTTCTATTGACGTCCGTCGAGTTGGGGGTTGATATATTTTACAGAAAGGTTACATTATTATAAGCACACACGCAAAGTTTCAACATGCGGAAATGCGTACTTTTTGAGAGAAAAATTATTGAAAATCAATTATTTTTGCAATATTTATGTCAATTGCTACCGTAAAACTGACGCCATTTTGTATTGTCGATTCTTTCCGAAAAAGTTCGATTTTTTGAAATCGATTTGAATTGTAAGCTGATGTATCAATTCACAAAAATCGATTTCTAAATATCTATATTTTTTATGTTTGCATTTATAATGTAAATATAAATCCATTTTATGAGAAAAAAATCCCCTTCATCGTAAAAAAATAGGGTGACTGATTCAGAAGGATTTCTGTATTTATTTTGAGACTGCTACGTCTCCGGCGCTGCGGAAAGAGCAGCCTCTACGCCTTTGCGTAACAAATCGTAGGCATCGGACGAGCCGTAGCGGCTGAGGCTGGTCGCCGAAGTTGCGATGGCGAGCTGCCCCACCCCCTACGCGCCTCCGGCTCTATAAAACCACTCTAGGGGTAGGACAGACTCGTACCAGGTGGAGTCGGGGTCAATCAATTCGATTGTTTGACATAAGTTGAACCTAACCTATTTTATTTGTTATCTGCCCTAATCATTTATTATGGTATCTTTCTTGTTTTTCATAAAATGGATTTATATTGACATTATAAATGCAAACATGAAAAAATATAGATATTTTAGAAATCGATTTAAAAATCGATCTTTTTCGGAAAGAACCGACAACCCTACTGACGATGACAATGACAGTACAAAATAGCGTCAGTTTTACGGTGGGAATTGACATAAATATTACAAAAATAATTGATTTTCAATAATTTTTTCTCTCAAAAAGTATGCGTTTCCGCATGTTGAAACTTTGACTGTGTGCTTATAATAATGGATCCTTTCTGTAACAAAAATATCAACCTCCAACTCGACGGATGTCAATAGAAAGCTAAGCCAACAAATGCACTGGTACACCATCAAGCACGCACTAGTGCAGCGCACCAACGTGGTGTACGAGAGCTGTCTGAAACAACTACAATAAAATTGATGCACAGGTTCACTGCCATGTACAAACCGGTGTGTGATACCGGTTTACGTTACTTTGCAAAAATATTTACAAATGTAGACTGCAATCAATATTGACTATGTTTAGGAACCGTTGTGAAAATGTTTAGGAGGCGAACAGAAATATCAGTATTAAAATGAATTTTCCTTACTTGCACTTGTTGGGCAGCCACATCAGCTGTGAGCGGCATCACTTTGTAATTTATTGGACAACTTCCAGCTCAAGTAAACAATGTGGTACCAAGAACAGATTACGAAGACCTAGTGTAGTAAAAAATAAAGTTTTAGTTACATAAAAAAAATGCCAAAGGAGCTAACATTTTACTTGATGGTACAGACTAAGAAGAGTACTTGGTAAGTGATTACTGCAGTTCACAGACACTTAACCACCTTCTACATGTTATGCTTAACTTACTAGATGTCACCAAAATATCTAAGTGCCAATATCAAATATGACTAAAAATAATTCATCCTTGCAGTCATATTTTAATGCTACTTTCATACTTTCATTGGAATATTTTTTTATTATGTCTGTGCTTTAACACTCTCCAACTCATTGTTGGTAATTTTGTATTATTCAAAATCTTATTACCTACATTACTTTATGTGGACTAAGAATAGCACAATCTTAATGTTGTCTAAATAGTTCCATTAAAGGAGGAGGTAGTTATGCATTCTGGAAATAACCTTAATACCTGTTGATGCCACATTGTCCTGACTAAGCTTTTGTCATTAAATTACTCGTAAACATGATAATTTCCAGTAGCCATAACTTTACAATAACATGTTGACCACGAATTGTGCCGATTAAGCTTTTGATATTGGATTACTGAAAACATGTTATAAAGTGTACGAAGTGAAATGATCGGGAATAGAATATTTCGGATTGAGTTACAATAAAACCTTTTTTAGAATTTGAATACTGGCCTCTTAGAATCTTAATGACATTCAAACAATTAAAAAAATGTTTAAAAACAAAAACTATGTTGGTTTAAAGTTGACACGTCGTTAACAGAAATGGAGCTCACGCGTGAACATTTCCGTGCCATAATTTATCACAATTTTCGTCGCGGCTTATCTCAAGATAAATGTCTCAGCGAACTTGTTTCGATTTATGATGTTGAAGCACCGAGTCAAACGACAATATACCGCTGGTATGTCGAGATCCGACGCGGTCGTGTGTTGCTCAGCACTGTTTCTTCTGCAGGTCGACCAAGAACAGCGGTCACGCCTGAAAACATCGCAGCTGTGCGAAATATTATATTAGATAACCGTCATGTGACATACGAGCAGATTCGGGCTGTTATCAGTATCGGAATGACTGCAATTCAGTCGATATTACATAATGAGCTGTGTGTAAGAAAGCTTGTTTCCCGCTGGGTTCCCCACAATTTGTCCGAAGAGCAAAAGGCGCCTTGTGTAGATTGGTGCCGGAATACTCTACAACGCTTCAACGGAGGGAACTCAAATGCCGTTTATAATATCGCCTCGGGTGACGAATCATGGATTTATTCATACGAACCTGAAAGAAATCTTCAGTCAGCAGTTTGGGTCTTCGAAGACGAGGTCAAACCAACGAAAGTGGTGTCAAAGAAAATGGTCACTACGTTTGTCTCGAAAAAGGGGCATGTTGCTACAATTCCTTTACAGGAACGCAGAACGGTTACCGATGAGTAACGATGAGAAAACCGATTACCGATGAGAAAACGGTTTGTTTACCAGAAACGATAGCCGAACTCCGAAAAAATAACCCGAAACGTCGCATCATCTTACATCACGATAATGCGAGCTCCCATACGGCTCGGAAGACAAATGATGTTTTGAAGCAGGAAAACGTTGAGCTGATGAGCCATCCTAAGTACAGTCTTGACCTGAGCCCAAATGATTTCTTTACATTCTCTAGAATGAAATATTTATTACGCGGTCAACGGTTTGAAGACCCCGAAGCAGCTGTAGAAGCGTACAAATCAGCCATTTTTTCAACATCAAATTCAGACTGGAATTACTATTTTAATGATTGGTTTGCACGAATGGAAAAGTGCATTAAGTTGAACGGAGAATACTTCGAAAAACAATAAAATACACTTTAGCTATACCGTGCATGTGGTTTTTCTTATTCCCGATCATTTCAGTGTGCCCCTCGTAACATTACAAAAGAGGCTGACTCCACTGTATAATTGTTATTGCTGGTCAAACCAAGGCGTCATACTTTCATTCGACAGACTTGTCATCACAAACATCCTAAAAACCCTGGCATTTAGAATAAGATTCATTATACTTAGTTCTCATCGTAGTAATGTTGTATTACATTATTGTAATGTAATAATGTAGTAAAAAATTGTATTACATTATTGTAATGTAATAGTTATTAAATGTCATTGAGAGATATTTAGTTGTTTTAAAAAAACCTTTAGCAGCGCTCCCGAAATTTAACTAGGTTGACAATTCAACTGTATATTTATTACTATGTAGATACTACCAAGGATATCTACATCAATTGGACCATAGTACAGAAATGATCCAATCAACAAACTCTTTTTTAAGTTTAGTTCCTAATATGAAAGACTTGTAAATTAACAAGTAATTCCAAAATCTACATAAAATTTTCTTTTTTTAATTAATATATGGACAACAAAACAGATAACAATCAAAATACATTAAATATATATATGTGTGTGTGTAACAGTTTTCTCAAAATCTGAGGGTGCAAGGTCAGGGCTATATGGTGGATGAATTAACACTTCCCAGCCAAGTTCTCTCAATTTTTGCCGGGTGACCCAAGATGTGTGTGGTCTGACGTTATCATGATGAAAGTCCACTCCTTTTCCGGTGATCAATAATTCCGGCCGTTTTTTCTCAATTTCTTTTGTGGTCAATCCTCAATTCCTCGGCTATGTCGAAACTACTAATACGATTTTGCTCCACATTTTCAAAAATGGCATCGACTTTATCGGTATGAAGCGAACAGAGCGAGCTGCATCTTTGACATAAAAATTCCCGGACTAAAAACGCTTGAACCAACTTTGTGTGTGTTTGTTTGTCCATTAACTTCATAAATTTTTTTGCGGTTTGGGTCGCATTTTTCCCTTTTTTTGTAATAAAACTATCGAATAACTATCGTAACGAATTTCTTCATTAGATTCACTAATTTTGGCGGACAGAACATAGACTAACTAGTAGATTCTACCCGAATGGACAGAAAAACAATTGTAAATTGCGGGTAAGTGTTTTATACTTTTTATTTTTCTTTTTTTTAACCGGTTGTGCGGGTGACACGCCAGGCGTGCCATCGATTACTTTTGTGTGTGGTGTATGACACGCGAGTCCTGTCTTTTTAAAAATCGTTATAACTCGTTCAAATTGCAAAATTTATCCAGAACAAAATATTCATTATTTTGCGAGTAGTTCATGCATGCAGCTTAGTTTCTGGATATTTTGAAAATTTGAAATTTTTAGGGGTTGACAACCTTTTTTTAACGTGTACATGGTACTATTTTTACTTTGTGGGTTTTAAATCATGTTATGGAAAAATTGTCTCATAAGTAACAAATAATAGCACTCATTGCGATCGCTCACAAACTCAAGTTGTAAATAAATTTCTGGAAAACAAGTCTCTTGTTAAAAAAAAAACAATGCGTTTGTCTTATTGTTTAATTTTGCTTAAAATGGTTGAACTGCCGTCTTATTACTATCATATGGCCGAATAGACCTACGAAGTACCATGTGCTCTTGTGATATGGTATAAGGTTTATTTTTGCTTGTAACAGTTCGAAACCGTTCATGCATAAAAAAAGTTCTTTTGTCAATCCGCCGCCGTATAGCGCCTGCGTTTTTTTCCTTTTGAAAACACTTGTTTTGCTATTCTTACTAATTAGACGTTTTCAGATCGATTTTACTTTTACATTTGTATAATATTAAATAATATTTAAGATTTGTAAATATCAATGGATGATATACCTTTTTTTTTTTCAAATTAAGGTTCTTCATTGTTTGATATTTACAAATGTTATTATTAGGTGAAAATTTAATTTAATAAAAACCAAGGTTTCCAGGGTGATTTAGCTGTACCTACTTATATAAATGATTTTTTTATAACAATAAAAAATAGCACAAAAGGTTTGTAATCTCTTCATAAAAAAAGTCACTTTTTCTCAATTTCAAAGAAATCGCGTCAAAATACACGTAGTTACCCACTAAAAACAAATATCCTTCCATTTGTAACTTATGTTTGATGTCAAATAAACTTAATTAGGTCTAAACAAGTAAAAAAAGCATAAAAAGAACATTACACATGGCGGATGACACAATAGGCGTATCATGAAATATTTGTTCGCCGCCACAGCTAAAAGTTGTCGAAAATTGGTGCCGCAACGAATCGGTTAATGTCCTATATTTATTGATATTAAAAAGCGGCCAGATACAAACAAAACATCCAAAGAGATTTTTCTTTATACAAATAAAATACGAAGAAACTTTTTCCCAACCTATTATTTGTTGTAAAAAATCACCCATATCTATTTACAATTGGACCTTGTTGTTCAGAAATGATCTAACCTACAAACCGTTGTTCGAATTTGAAAGATAAATGCATTTTTCTGCAGGTTGACGCCGTGTACACCGATTTTACGAAAGCTTTCGATAAAGGAAATCATTCTTTACTCTGTAAGAAATTAGATATGTCGGGTATTTTTGGAAATCTACTGCGCTGGGTTCATTCGTACCTCGATAACAGAAGCCAACTTCTCGCTCTCAAAGGTTTCATGTCATCACATGTCACAGTTAAATCCGGTATTTCTCAGGGTTCACATCTCGGTCCATTATTTTTAATTTTTTTTTATTAACAATCTGATTTGCAAACTGTCCAGTCCTTGCCTTCTATATAGATTATCTATTGTATTATATTTCTTAAAACGACGATGCTATTTATTTTTTTCTTTGAGACACTTTATTAATGCTGAAGTATAACATGGTGGATATTTGTTATTGGTTTTACTAACAATGGGCGTGTGATTTGCAATTAACTTATTTACGAGTGTAGAACTTATCGACAGCATCATATATATCCGGTTCATTCGATAAGCTCCTTAATCCTTTTTAAATCTGAATAATTACATTTGCAGTAGTTATATCTTATTTGTTGTGCAAATTTAATTTTTTTTTAAATTACAAAATTTTCTTTAAAATGATAATA